GAGCCATGGCATTAAAGGGTAAGTGGGGTCTCCAAGGATCACAATAGGCATTTTGACTTCCCCTATGGTGATCTTCTGCTCTGGGAAGAAAGTCCCGGCTTGCAGCTTCCTGAACAGGCCTGTGTTCTGAAAGATGCATGCATCATGCACCTTTCTGGACCAGTCTGCATTAATGTCCATGAAATGCCCACAGTGATCCACAAGCACCTGGAGAACCATTGAGAAATACCCTTTCTGATTTATGTATTCGGAGGCTAGGTGATCTGGTGCCAGAATTGGAATATGCGTCCCATCTATTGCCCCTCTGCAGTTAGGGAAACCCATTTGTGCAAAGCCAGACACAATGTAAAGCATGTTGCCCAGAGTTATGGTTCTTCTGAGCAGGATGCGATTAATCGCCCTGCAAACTTGCATCAACATGATTCCAACGGTCGACTTCCCACTCCGAACTGGGTAGCGACCAATCAGTAGCAGTCTGGAGTAGCCAGCATCCAGATTGCAATAACCACCTACTTCTTCACCGGTAGTGCAGCTCTCAATCTCGTGTCTTTGTGTCGCAGGGTGGGGGCAAGCTCAGCACACAGTCCCATGAAAATGGCTTTCCTCATCCGAAAGTTCTGCAGCCACTGCTTGTCATCCCAGACTTGCATGACGATGTGATCCCACCACTCAGTGCTTGTTTCCCGAGCTCAAAAGTGGCGTTCCACTGTGGTGAGCATGTCTGTGAATGCCACAAGCAATCTCATGTTGTGTGCATTATGCGAGTCAACATCATCGTCGGACTCCTCACTGTCACTCTGTAGTTTAAGGAGTAACTCGACTGCAATTTGTGACGTTCTGGCGAGACCCATCAGCATATTCCTCACTAGTTCGGGATCCATTCCCACAGACCGAAAGGGAAGACAGAGCACGCAGTACAAAAACCGTTGAAAGATGGCATCAAATGTGGATGGAAGCACAGGGATTGCTGGGATGCATCACGGGGCATTGGGACAGGACCCAGGATGCCCCGTGCCCCCCCACCCGCCCCTTCCCACAAGCCACAGCTCCAGAATGGGAAGAGATGCTCTGCGGGATAGCTACCCATAATGCACCGCTCCCAATGCCGTTGCAAGTGCCGCAAATGTGGCCACACCACTGAGCTTGCAGCTGACAGTGTGAACACACGGCAGCGCTTTCCCTGCTGCGGTCTCCGAGGGCTGGTTTAACTCACAGCGCTCTACATCTGTAAGTGTAGCTATGCCCTAAGACTTCAACATGGATTGGTGAGAGGAAATTAAAAAAGTGCTAAGGGATTAGATTTGCAACTCTTGTAATGATTTTCCTGGAATATTAAAATGCTGTTGTAACTTAAAAGACTAACAGTTTCTCCTGAAACACCAAATGATTGGACTACATATTTGGAGAGGAGACAGGGACTAAACATTGGTAAACAGTGAAACAGTGGAATGTAAAATTCTTCACATTCGTAACTGGTGTTTCTTAAAACAGCTCCTCAAATGGCTTTTTCTAAGTAAATAATTTAAATATGTTCTTCAATGTCATAGGATTTAGTTAAGATTGCTTACTTTGCCAACTATAAACTGGCTGATTAGTTATTAATAACCAACAGGTTCCCCTCCCTGGAACAAAATTATTTTGCCCATTGTGACACTACACCCCATATTCTTCATACAATTATTGTTATAATATAATTATAGTATAACGATGATATGTTTTGTGCAAGATAAGGCATGTGAGATATCATTGGAAAGGTTATGATTTGCTGAATATGATTATTTCATTTGTATGCATGTATCATTTTTGTATCTAAAGTTAGGAATATTGACTATACATCTATGTATACATACATACATCTGGCTCTGTGGATGAGGGGAAAGCAGTGAACGTGTTATTTCTGGACTTTAGCAAAGCTTTTGATATGGTCTCCCACAGTAATTTTGCCAGCGAGTTAAAGAAGTATGGGCTGGATGAATGGACTACAAGGTGGATAGAAAGCTAGCTAGATCATCAGGCAAAATGGGTAGTGATCAATGGCTCCATGTCTAGTTGGCAGCCGGTATCAAGCGGAGTGCCCCAAAGGTCAGTCCTGTGGCCAGTTTTGTTCAATATCTTCATTAATGATCTGGAGGATGGCGTGGATTGCACCCTCAGCAAGTTTGCAGATGACACTAAACTGGGAGGAGTGGTAGATAAGCTGGAGGGTAAGGATAGGATACAGATGGACCTAGACAAATTAGAGGATTGGGCCCAAAGAAATCTGACAAGTGCAGAGTCCTGCACTTAAGACGGAAGAATCCCATACACTGCTACAGACTAGGGACCGAGTGGCTAGGCAGCAGTTCTGCAGAAAAGGAGTTGGTAGCCAGGAATCAGAGCCCAGGGTCACAGCAGGAGTCAGCACCAGGCTCAGAACTGGAGTCAAAGGCCCGACGCCAGAGCCAAGGGTCAGAGATGAAGTCAGTGGTCAGGAATCAGAGCCGAGGGTTAGAACTGGATTATCTGGAGTGAGACAAAGCAGGGGCAAGGCTCGGTCCAAGGCAGGAGCAAGGAGGGAGCAAGGCTGGGAACAAGCAAGAGCAGGAGCTATTTCAGCCATAGGCAAATGTTTTGAGCAGCCACTGAACTGTTGTTGGGTTTAGGAGCTGATCTCCTGACTCTTCCAACCAATCAGGTAGCGTAGCCAACCAGTTAGACCAGTGGTTCTCAACCACGGGTATGTGTACCCCATGGGGTACACAGAGGTCTTGCAGGTGGTACATCGACTCATCTAGTTATTTGCCAAGTTTTACAACAGGCTACATAAAAAGCACAAGCAAAATCAGTACAAACTAAAATTTCATACAATGACTTATTTATACTGTGCTATATACTATATATTGAAATGTAAGTACAGTATTTATATTCCTACTGATTTATTTTATAATTATACTGTAAAGATGAGAAAGTAAGCACCTTTTCAGTAATAGTGTGCTGTGACACTTTTGTATTTTTATGTCTGATTTTGTAAGCAAGTAATTTTTAAGTGAGATGAAACTTGGGGGTGCGCAAGACAAATCAGGCTCCTGAAAGGGGTACAGCAGTCTGGAAAGATTGAGAGCCACTAAGTTAGACTACTACAGGCCAGCTGCGCTCATTAGGTTGCCCAGCTACTGGCTCTGCTGCAGGCCCTTCTTCCAGACTGGCTCAGTTGCACGCCCTGATTCCTGACAGCTACTATGCTGGTGTGCAGAGAGTACTGCTAACCTATCATGCTGACCAACAGTTCCTTGTAACAAGCACCTCCCTTGATCTGTCTGTATCCATTTTTGTCTTATGCTTGGATTGTAAACTTTTTCGGGTGGGGGACTGTCTCTTTGTTCTATTTATACAGCACCGAGCACAAGGAGGTCCTAGTGCATGAGTGGAGTTCCTAGGCACCGTGGAAGGCATAAAGATAAGAACAACTACCACCACCAATGTGGCTCAATATTATTCGGTAAAGCCAATCTCTAACAGTGAGAGGATAGTTCAGTTTCTTTGCCCATTGAGCCCTTGGCTTCTGGACTAAACTAGTCAACAAGGTACCAGATCACTAGAGTTGATCACCAGATCAACTTCATGTGTGCCACCAGAAGTACATCAATTCACTGTTTCTAAGTAGGTCTACAAATGTTCAAGTTTATTAGAATACCAGGATTACATGAAAATTGGAGTACAATTGCTTTAGAAACATATGCAAGCCTCATTGTATTTATTTATTATGAATGCAACTACTGCTTATTTAGAGCTGTTTGATGCAGGGAGCACATTTCACCTGTGATAGCACTGGCTAAGGGCAGACACAGTGTGAGTAGGCACTCCCAAAGTTTACCCAGCACAGCAATCCTGAATATTAATATAGTCATCAAACCTCTCCTGAACAGATTGCCAGTACTGTATTGTAACAGTCACCTTAAAATCTTCACAGTTGCATTTCCTACTATAGCTAATACTGCAAATAAAGTATAGAGAAATTTAAGTAATGCCAAAACTGAGGCAACTGTATTGATCTATTGATAGCCAATCAGCAAGTTTTTAAGGTAATTATTGTAAATCATATGGGAGATTCTTGACACGAACAAACAAAAATGTGTTTTTACTGATGATTTAAACAGATTTGAGCCCAGGTATTCAAAGATTAAAGTTCAGAGTGATATTCCACTGAATCATCTTGCCCTTGAATAAAATGTATTGGCACTTAACTATTATGTTCTACACTGTAAAGTGCGTATATGAAAGTAATTAACAATAAAATATGTTTTTTAAAAACATCCTCAAAGTCATATATGATAGTTTAGTTAAATGATAAAAAGAAAAGGCTGCATTTTGCTCATGAAGGAAATAGATTGTTCTGTGCTACTAAAAAGTGTCAAGACACAGACGATTTTACACTCATTGTTTCATCATGACATCTGAAAATGTTGCCCATCCTGGTATCCAGCATCTGTAGGAAGGTTCCAGTGAAGCACTACTCTCATGAGCTGCTGGTGGCAGATGAAAGAGTAAAAAGTGTTTCTCAGAGCAGCAGTCAGGAGGGTTTTATAAAACCCTGCAGGACCAGCCTGCTCTGCTCCCCTTTATGTCAGTGGGATAACTCCCACTGATTTCAAAGGGAGCCAAATTGGACCAACACTGAGCACTTTGGAAAATCCCACCAATAGTGTGCAATAATCAACAGTAGTATCCAATGGCTAAGATAGTAAAGGGTCAAAAACAGAACCAAAAGTAGTCTAAATATGAACCCTGAATTTGTGAACATTTGCTATTTACATGTAATATGCCCTGAAAGTCACAAAATTTACTCAACTGCTAGAAGGGGGCCTCATCCTCTCTGATTGAACTAACCTCGTTATCCCTAGCCTGATTCTTGCTTGCATATTTATACCTGCCTCTGGAAATTTCCACTACATGCATTCGACGAAGTGGGTATTCACCCACGAAAGCTTATGCTCCAATACGTCTGTTAGCCCTGGTCTACACTAGGACTTTAGGTCGAATTTAGCAGCGTTAAATCGATGTAAACCTGCACCCGTCCACACAATGAAGCCCTTTATTTCGACTTAAAGGGCTCTTAAAATCGATTTCCTTACTCCACCCCTGACAAGTGGATTAGCACTTAAATCGACGTTGCCGGCTCGAATTTGGGGTACTGTGGACACAATTCGATGGTATTGGCCTCCGGGAGCTATCCCAGAGTGCTCCATTATGACCGCTCTGGACAGCACTCTCAACTCAGATGCACTGGCCAGGTAGACAGGAAAAGAACCGCGAACTTTTGAATCTCATTTCCTGTTTGGCCAGCGTGGCAAGCTGCAGGTGACCATGCAGAGCTCATCAGCACAGGTGACCATGATGGAGTCCCAGAATCGCAAAAGAGCTCCAGCATGGACCGAACGGGAGGTACGGGATCTGATCGCTGTTTGGGGAGAGGAATCCGTGCTATCAGAACTCCGTTCCAGTTTTCAAAATGCCAAAACCTTTGTCAAAATCTCCCAGGGCATGAAGGACAGAGGCCATAACAGGGACGCGAAGCAGTGCCGCGTGAAACTGAAGGAGCTGAGGCAAGCCTACCAGAAAACCAGAGAGGCGAACAGCCGCTCTGGGTCAGAGCCCCAAACATGCCGCTTCTATGATGAGCTGCATGCCATTTTAGGGGGTTCAGCCACCACTACCCCAGCCGTGTTGTTTGACTCCTTCAATGGAGATGGAGGCAATACGGAAGTAGGTTTTGGGGACGAAGAAGATGATGATGAGGAGGTTGTAGATAGCTCACAGCAAGCAAGCGGAGAAACCGTTTTTTCCGACAGCCAGGAACTGTTTCTCACCCTAGACCTGGAGCCAGTACCCCCCGAACCCACCCAAGGCTGCCTCCTGGACTCAGCAGGCGGAGAAGGGACCTCTGGTGAGTGTACCTTTTAAAATGCTATACATGGTTTAAAAGCAAGCATGTGAAAGGATTACTTTGCCCTGGCATTTGCGGTTCTGCCTTTGCAAAAGGTTTCTGGGGAGGGCAGCCTTATTTCGTCCTTCATGGTAGGACACTTTACCACTCCAGGCCAGTAACACGTACTCGGGAATCACTGTAGAACAAAGCATTGCAGTGTATGTTTGCTGGCATTCAACCAAAATCCGTTCACGCGGTGGGAGGAGGCAAAATGCGACCTTGTAACGAAAGCACATGTGCTATGTATGTAATGTTAACAGCAAGGTTTACCCTGAAAGAGTGTAGCGACTGTTTTATAAAATGCGTCTTTTTAAATACCGCTGTCCCTTTTTTTTTCTCCACCAGCTGCATGTGTTTCAATGATCACAGGATCTTCTCCTTCCCAGAGGCTAGTGAAGCTTAGAAAGAAAAAAAAACGCACTCGCGATGAAATGTTCTCCGAGCTCATGCTGTCCTCCCACACTGACAGAGCACAGACGAATGCGTGGAGGCAAATAATGTCAGAGTGCAGGAAAGCACAAAATGACCAGGAGGAGAGGTGGAGGGCTGAAGAGAGTAAGTGGCAGGCTGAAGACAGGGCTGAAGCTCAAATGTGGCGGCAGCGTGATGAGAGGAGGCAGGATTCAATGCTGAGGCTGCTGCAGGACCAAACCAGTATGCTCCAGTGTATGGTTGAGCTGCAGCAAAGGCAGCTGGAGCACAGACTGCCACTGCAGCCCCTCTGTAACCAACCGCCCTCCTCCCCAAGTTCCATAGCCTCCACACCCAGACGCCCAAGAACGCGGTGGGGGGGCCTCCGGCCAACCAGCCACTCCACCACAGAGGATTGCCCAAAAAAAAGAAGGCTGTCATTCAATAAATTTTAAAGTTGTAAACTTTTAAAGTGCTGTGCTTAAAGTGCTGTGTGGCATTTTCCTTCCCTCCTCCACCACCCCTCCTGGGATACCTTGGTAGTCATCCCCCTATTTGTGTGATGAATGAATAACGAATGCATGAATGTGAAGCAACAATGACTTTATTGGCTCTGCAAGCAATGATTAAAGGGAGGAGGGGAGGGTGGTTAGCTTACAGGGAAGTAGAGTGAACCAAGGGGCGGGGGGTTCATCAAGGAGAAACAAACAGAACTTTCACACCGTAGCCTGGCCAGTCATGAAACTGTTTTTCAAAGCTTCTCTGATGCGTACCGCGCCCTCCTGTGCTCTTCTAACCGCCCTGGTGTCTGGCTGCGCGTAACCAGCAGCCAGGCGATTTGCCTCAACCTCCCACCCCGCCATAAACGTCTCCCCCTTACTCTCACAGATATTGTGGAGCACACAGCAAGCAGTAATAACAGTGGGAATATTGGTTTCGCTGAGGTCTAAGCGAGTCAGTAAACTGCACCAGCGCGCCTTTAAACATCCAAATGCACATTCTACCACCATTCTGCACTTGCTCAGCCTGTAGTTGAACAGCTCCTGACCACTGTCCAGGCTGCCTGTGTATGGCTTCATGAGCCATGGCATTAAGGGGTAGGCTGGGTCCCCAAGGATACATATAGGCATTTCAACATCCCCAACAGTTATTTTCTGGTCTGGGAATAAAGTCCCTTCCTGCAGCTTTTGAAACAGACCAGAGTTCCTGAAGATGCGAGCATCATGCACCTTTCCCGGCCATCCCACGTTGATGTTGGTGAAACGTCCCTTGTGATCCACCAGAGCTTGCAGCACTATCGAAAAGTACCCCTTGCGGTTTATGTACTCGGCGGCTTGGTGCTCCGGTGCCAAGATAGGGATATGGGTTCCGTCTATGGCCCCACCACAGTTAGGGAATCCCATTGCAGCAAAGCCATCCACTATGACCTGCACATTTCCCAGGGTCACTACCCTTGATATCAGCAGATCTTTGATTGAGTGGGCTACTTGCATCACAGCAGCCCCCACAGTAGATTTGCCCACTCCAAATTGATTCCCAACTGACCGGTAGAGCTGTCTGGCATTGCAAGCTTCCACAGGGCTATCGCCACTCGCTTCTCAACTGTGAGGGCTGCTCTCATCTTGGTATTCATGCGCTTCAGGGCAGGGGAAAGCAAGTCACAAAGTTCCATGAAAGTGCCCTTACGCATGCGAAAGTTTCGTAGCCACTGGGAATCGTCCCAGACCTGCAACACTATGCGGTCCCACCAGTCTGTGCTTGTTTCCCGAGCCCAGAATCGGCGTTCCACAGCATGAACCTGCCCCATTAGCACCATGATGCATGCATTGTCAGGGCCCATGCTTTCAGAGAAATCTGTGTCCATGTCCTGATCACTCACGGGACCGCGCTGACGTCGCCTCCTCGCCCGGTATCGCGTTGCCATGTTCTGGTGCTGCATATACTGCTGGATAATGTGTGTGGTGTTTAATGTGCTCCTAATTGCCAAAGTGAGCTGAGCGGCCTCCATGCTTGCCTTGGTATGGCGTCCGCACAGAAAAAAGGCGCGGAACGATTGTCTGCCGTTGCTCTGACGGAGGGAGGGGCGACTGACGACACGGCTTACAGGGTTGGCTTCAGGGAGCTAAAATCAACAAAGGGGGTGCCTGTACATCAAGGAGTATTTCAGGCAGGACTGCACGGAGGGTTCCAATAAGAAATGGTGCACCTAAGTTATCGTTCTTATTGGAACAAGGAGGTTAGCCTGGCCTCTGATTGATACATGGCTAGATTTACCTCGCTGCACCTTCTCTGTGAGTGACTGCAGTGTGACCTAGAGGAATGAGTCCCCTAGACAGGGGAGGAGGCAAATGAGTACAAAACAAATCTGGTCTATTTCTTTTTTGACCCACTCCATCTATCTTTTACATCTTTGGCTGGCAGCAGACGGTGCAGAAGGACTGCATGCCATCCACATCTCATGGCTGCTCGGCAGAAGATGGTACAGTACGACTGCTAGCCATCCCCATCTCTTGCCTGCCTGGCAGAAGATGGTGCAATACGACTGCTAGCAATCCTCATCTCTTGCCTGCCTGGCAGAAGATGGTACAGTACGACTGCTAGCAGTCCGTATCGCCTGCCCGCTCACCATAAGACGGTTCAATAGGACTGACTGCAGGACTAAAGAGAATGACCTGGTCAAGTCACTCCAAATTTAGTCCCTGCGCCCATGTCTGCCCAGGCGCTCCCAGCCGATGTGGCCAGGAGCACCTCGGACACGACGAGGACGACTACCAATCGTATTGCACCGTCTGCTGCCAGAAGGCAATGGGTTGCTGCTACTGTGCAGCAAAGCCGTACCGCGTCTGCCAGCACCCAGGAGACATAGGGTGACGGTTACCTGAGCGGGCTCCATGCTTGCTGTGGTATGGCGTCTGCACAGGTAACTCAGGAAAAAAGGCGCGAAATGATTGTCTGCCCTTGCTTTCACGGAGGGAGGGAGGGAACGGGGGGCTGACGATATGTACCCAGAACCACCCGCGACAATGTTTTAGCCCCATCAGAGTGCTCCATTGTGACTGCTCTGGACAGCACTCTCAGATGCCCGATTGTTTGCCATTGCTCTGACGCTGGGAGGGGCGCTTACAGGGTTGGCTTCAGGGAGCTAAAATCAACAAAGGGGGTGGCTTTACATCAAGGAGTATTTCAGGCAGGACTTCACGGAGGGTTCCAATAAGAAATGGTGCACCTAAGTTATTGTCCTTATTGGAACAAGAAGGTTAGCCTGGCCTCTGATTGATACATGGCTAGATTTACCTCGCTGCACCTTCTCTGTAAGTGACTGCAGTGTGATCTAGAAGAATGAGTCCCCTAGACAGGGGAGGGGGGGAAGCAAATGAGTACAAAACAAATCTGGTCTATTTCTTGTTTTGATCCACTCCATCTATCTTTTACATCTTTGGCTGGCAGCAGACGGTGCAGAAGGACTGCATGCCATCCACATCTCATGGCTGCTCGGCAGAAGATGGTACAGTACGACTGCTAGCAGTCCGTATCGCCTGCCCGCTCACCATAAGACGGTTCAATAGGACTGACTGCAGGACTAAAGAGAATGATCTGGTCAAGTCACTCCAAATTTAGTCCCTGTGCCCATGTCTGCCCAGGCGCTCCTGATCGACCTCACAGAGGCGACCAGGAGCACCTCAGACATGACGATGACGGCTACCAGTCGTACTGTACCGTCTGCTGCCACAAGGCAAGGGGTTGCTGCTACTGTGTAGCAATGCCGTACCACGTCTGCCAGCACCCAGGAGACATAGGGTGACGGTTACCTGAGCGGGCTCCATGCTTGCCATGGTATGGCGTCTGCACAGGTAACTCAGGAAAAAAGGCGCGAAATGATTGTCTGCCCTTGCTTTCACGGGGGGAGGGAGGGAACGGGGGGCTGACGATATGTACCCAGAACCACCCGCGACAATGTTTTAGCCCCATCAGGCATTGGGATCTCAACCCAGAATTCCAATGGGCAGCGGAGACTGCGGGAACTGTGGGATAGCTACCCACAGTGCAACACTCCGGAAGTCGACACTTGCCTCGGTACTGTGGAAGCGCTCCGCCGAGTTAATGCACTTAATGCACTTAGAGCATTTTCTGTGGGGACACACACACTCGAATATATAAAACCGATTTCTAAAAAACCGACTTCTATAAATTCGACCTAATTTCGTAGTGTAGACATACCCTTAGTCTATAAGATGCCACAGGACTCTTTGTCGCTTTTACAAAATTTACTATTTCTCTCCCATAAATTAAAAGAAACGTGAACTTCTGTCCAAGTATTACTGTTTTAACTACTTTTTATTGCCATCAAAACTGTAACTTGTACCTTTAAGAAACATATCTAAAAAACTAGGAAATATTTAAATTTTTGCTGTCATTTGTTCTAGAAGTTCAAAGCTTAATGCTCTGTATAGTAACTGCAACCTGAAATCGTCCTTGTAGTAAATAATGGAATGTGTTCTGTCACTGAGAGAAGATTTGTTTATTACTAGTAATAAACGAATCCAAACTTCAAGGGCAATATTTGGATCTCAGTTACACTAGTGTAAATCTAGAGTAACTCTCCTGAAGTCAATGGACTGGAAGGATTTAATGTAAATGCCATTGGAATCTGGCCCCAGGTGTTTAATTATTTTAACAATAGGATTCCATTTTTCAGATTTTATTAATTCAAATTGCAGTCTCTTAAAGCAGCTGAGATTTTTTAAGGAGATTAATGCACTAATCTCCCAATGATGGGGCTCAATGCCAAATTCCAAGTATAATATATTTGGTGGTCTTAACCTACAGCCTGATCCTGCATACACTTATGCACATGAGTGATTTAACCCATGTGATAAGTCCATGGAACAACTCCTGTAGATTAATCACTCACACCCATGCATAAGTCTTTGCACGATCAGGCACACAGTCCTTAGCTGATATTTACCCACAATGCAAACAGAGTTAGCAGTCTTAGCATAGAAGAGGACCTCAAATGGCATGTCAGGAGTACTGTAAGTCAGAATTGAGGTACTATGGCTGAACCATGTGGAGGAAAGCTTGAATATTACAAGTACTTGCATTATACTGTCATAGATTTTAAGGCCAGAAGGGACCATTATGATAATTGAGTGTGACCTCTAGCCAATGATGAGCTGCCAAAATCTTGACAACGGGTTCCCTCCTCACCCCACGAGGGGGTCGTTGCCCACCCACACACCCCGGGACTCCTGCCCCATCCAACCCCCCCACGTTCCTTGATGCGCCCCCCCCCAGGAACCCTGCCCCATCCACCCCCCTCCCTGTCCCCTGATTACCCCCAGAACCGGGCAGGAGGGTCTCGTGGGCCACCGTAGTGGGTGCCCACCCACGCCTAAGAGCCAGAGGCACCTGCCGGGGGGTGAGGTGGAGAGTCCCGGTGGTGCTTACCTGGGGCAGCTCCCAGCAGGTACCTCTGGCTTCTAGAGGGGAAGCAGGGGGGGAGCAGCTAGGAGGGGAGTGGCCACTCCCCCCACTGATCACATCAAAAGTGGCACCTTAGGCGCCGACTCCCTGGGTGCTCCGGGCCTGGAGTACCCATGGGGAAAATTGGTGAGTGCAGAGCACCCACTGGCAGCTCCCCACCCCGCGCCTGGCCCCAGCTCACCTCCGCTCCGCCTCCTCCCCTGAATGCACCGCCCCGCTCTGCTTCTCCGCCCCCCCGGCTTCCTGTGAATCAGCTGTTTGGCAGGAAGCCGGGGAGGACTGCGAAGCAGGCCACGGCTTCACACTCAGGCCGAGGGTGATGGAGGTGAGCTGGGGCAGGGAGCGGTTCCTCTGCGCGTGTTCCCCCCCCGGGTTACGTGCTGCAGCGCGGGCAGCCCTCCTTGTGCCCCACCCCCACCCCACAAGCTCACTTCCGCCTCCCTGGGCCTGAGCGGGAAGCTGCCGCTTTCTTCTCAGCCTGCCCCAGCTTCTCGCACCAGCAGCTGATTCGCGGGACGCCGGGGGGGGGGCGGAGAAGCAGAGCGGGGCGGCGCATTCAGGGGAGGAGGCGGAGGCGGAGCGGAGGTGAGGTGAGCTGGGGCCGGGGGTGGGGCGGGGAGCTGCCGGTGGGTGCTCTGCACCCACCAAATTTTCCCCTTGGGTGCTCCAGGGTTGGAGCACTCGTGGAGTCGGTGCCTAAGGTGCCACTTTTGGCCAGTTAAATTTAGAAGCCCTTTTAGAACCGGTTGTCCCTCGTGGAACAACCGGTTCTAAAAGGGCTTCTAAATTTAACAACCAGTTCTAGCAAACCGGTGCGAACCGGCTCCACCTCACCACTGCCTCTAGCGTAACACAGGCCAAAGAACCGCACGCAATAATTCCTACATCAAGTCCATAACTTCTGTTGGAGTTAAAGCATCTCTTTTAGAAAGCTATCCAGTCTTGATTTAATGATGGCAAGTGATGGAGAATCTACTACATCCCTAAATACTTGGGCCTTCATCCAGTGTTATCAGTCTCTTAATTTCATGGTCATTGAAATGCACTACAAATATACACACAATGAAAGAGAAAACATTCAATCCTTCAGAGTTTTAGTACAATATTAATAAAGCTATAACCAATAGGGAAAACTAAACAGTAAAGCAATGGAGAGCTAAATACTGCTCACATTTGCACCACTGTAAATCTGGAATAACTCCACTGAAATTACTGCAGCTACTCTGGATTTTATCTAGTGTAACTGAGATCAGAATATACTATGATTTTAGTCTGTAAGAAAGCACAGAGGAATTACTTTCCTTCCAAGACCTGTGACTTGTTTTTACAGACTCAGGAATACTGAAAACAGCTATTTTTTTTCATTTCTTGCTGTCTTAAATTGAACAAATAAAAATTATTACCTTCGTGCTGCTGATTCTTTGATGGAGTCAAAGTGTCAACTGCATCTTGGATCTGTTCGGCATTGTTTTTAAAAGCAGTGAGAAAGTCCCTTAAAGCAACCTCTGAAGCTTCCGCTTTAAGGTTTATGCAAGAAGAAAGAACATCCGTAAAGAAAGTGGGGTGGGGGAGAGACAGACAGAGGGACAGACATGTTATCTAGTGTACTCTGGAGAGCAAGCCCAGTTCTGACAGCTGAAATACTACAACAGTACAGGGGGGGAAAATGTTCAGCACTTCCTACAAGGAAGTCCAGACATATAGTACACTTATGTGTCTATGTATTGTGATACAGCAGGCCAGAAGGCAGCAGGAGAGTGATATAGGAGAGATATATGGATATGTAAGCCACAGGATGAGGTGAAGCCTTATTCCCTGTAGAGGGAAGAAAGGTTTCTATAGATTAATTAAAAGCACCTGAAGCCAATTAGAGCATCTGAAGCCAGTCACCTGATAAAAACCCCCTGCTTCAATCAGCTAGGGGAAGGACTTGAAGTAGAGAAGAGTTTGAAGAAGTGCCGTGGCTGGCTAGAAGACCAAGACCCTAGATAAAGAGACACCGGCTTGTGCAGAGAGAGGGCAGGAAGCCCACAAGCTGAAGAGCAGGAGAGGGAAGTAGCACGGGGAAGGAAGCACTAGTTCAAGTGGTTTGCCACTATCCCTAGGGTCCCTGGGCTGGGACCTGGAGTAGAGGGCGGGCCCGGGTCTCTCCCTCTCCACTACCCTTCTCTGGGTTACTAGTGGGACAGTAGATACCCTAGTTCAGGGGCAGAAAACTGTGCCCTGACCCCCACGCCCAGAAGAGGAAGCGCAGGACCCATCATAATTGTGCCAGCAATTTGCCACAGTGTGTACATATGAACACAGAATGACTGCAAAATGATGAAAAAGTTTATCCCATAAGCATGGTGAGTATCACTTAGGATTGAAAATTCCACCTTGATTCATTAGCACAAACTATGCCAATTTACATGGGATGAGGTGCTGAATTTTTGCATAAAAGTTGCTGAATTTTTTTTTAAAGAGACACCTTTAGAGAGTGAACAGTATTTGCAGTATTGTATTTTTATTTTTTTATTATCTAAAGTAGAAATCAGTTTGTCGATGCTCCATTTTAAATTTGTCTCTTTACATTTCATATTGAGTTAGTAATGTCATTACCTACAACACTCTATTACTCTCTAAGTACCTTTCCCAGATGTGAAGAAGAGCTCTGTGTGGCTCGAAAGTGTGTCTCTTTCACCAACAGTAGTTGGTCCAATAAAATATATTACCTCCTCCACCTTGTCTCTCTAAATTATTTACTACCTTTTTTTTTAAGATCACATTTGTAACTAGTATAAAATGACCATATGTTTGTGGACTTTTCTGTGCTAAAATTGAAAGGAAAAAGAAAATAGAACAGACTTGTATATTTGCCTTCCTTTGTTGTGATATGGGTTGTAATGATTTTTTATTAATTTAAATGTCTTCATCATTGCATGAGATTTTAGTTTGTTTTGTACTCTTCTTGAAAATGTAATAAAGAAAATATGAAAAAACCCACACTAGAGTTCATACTGCATATTAAGGATGAATTTTTACACATTTATTTCCCAATACATTTTTTTAATAAAAAGTAATAAACACATTTTTATTTTCCTTATGAATGCCATATAATACTGTTATACCATATATTATGTATTTTATGTAAGGAATTTTGAATTTTTGAGTCTACAAATGTGCATAGAAAATCCAGTATACAGATGAAGGGATTATTTATAATACAGTGAAGAAAAACCAGTGCTAGGTGGGATTGGTGCTGATTGTAAATTACAGCTTTGCAGATCTTTTATTTAATGTTTATCGATATTTTCCAACTGGTTTTAGTTTGTGCTGCTGGAAATATCACAAAAATACACACTAACCTTGTAGTGGTGAACATAGAACTGACACAACGTTCTCTTGAAAAGTGTGGTAGGCTTGCTTTATCCCCTCAAAAACAGCTTCAGTGTACTTAACTTGGAGGTTGTATAGGCTTTTATGGAAATTGAGTTCAGCTTGCAGAGCATGTATCTAGAAGACAAAATACATATAAAACATAATGATGGTTAGCTACAATAATTACCATTATTCACATCCTATGCGGAGGTCACATTCAAAATTTTCTTCTGTTTTGAGAGACATTGCCAGTCCCAGAACAATTCCCCATTTTAAGCATAGGCAATCTCTCTCAGAATGGCAGAATCTTTTAAAGTGTGAATAGACTGGGAATTGGAATTTCCAGCCTGTGGGAAATTTCACATTTCTGACTTGTTTGGTTGTTTGTTCTGATTTGGAAGAAGCTGGAAATTCAGATTTTTTCCAGGGAACAGACATTTTTGAAAAGTTCAATTTCAGAATAACCAAAACAGATTTTTTTTTAAACTTCTGCACTAGCAAACCAAGCAGCCCAGGGAGCATATTTGAAGCTTAAATACACCATTAATATAGTGAATTACAAGCAGTGTAGTTCAGCACAGAAATCTTTTAGGACCTGATCCAGTGTGCCATTGAAGTCAACAGGGAATCTTTCCATTGATTTAAATGGGCTATGGCTCAGGCCCTTTAAAGAATTATTATAAATGTAACTCTAGCACAGGGGAAGGTAAACTACAGCCTGGGGGCTGCATCCGGCCCTACAGACATTTTAATCCAGCCCTCAAGCTCCAACCGGGGAGCAGGGTCCAGGGCATGCCCTGCTCTGGCACTCCAACTGAGGAGCGGGGTCAGGGGCTTGCCCCACTCCATGCAGCTCCGGGAAGCAGCAACGTGTCCCCCCTCCAGCTCCTACACATAGGGGCAGCCAGGGGGCTCCACATGCTGCCCCCGCCCCAAGCGCCACCCCCGCAGCTCCCATTGGCCAGGAACCACGGCCAATGGGAGCTGCAGGGAGCTGCTTGAGGTAAGCACCACCCAGAGCCTGCACCCCTGCCACCTTTCTGCACCCCAATTCCCTGCCCCAGCCCTGATTCCCCTCCTCCCTCAAACCCCTCGGTCCCAGCCCAGAGGACCCTCCTGTACCCACAACCCCAGAGCCCGTACCTCCAGCTGGAGTCCTCACCTCCTCCCGCACCCCAACCCCCAATTTTGTGAGCATTCGTGGTCCACCATACAATTTCCATACCCAGATGTGGCCCTTGGGCCAAAAAGTTTGCCCACCCCTGCTCTAGCAAAATCTCTGTGAGCATTGAGAAACAGATGGTTTCTAGTGACCAAATATTTTTTTTCTTTCAACACCATAATTTTTTTAAGTGTTGTGAGGAAAAAAAAATGTTAACACAAAGCTTATATAAAACACTACAAATATTTTCCATTATTTCAATGTGTTAAAAATAATAAAATCCATAAAATACGGATGGGTCTTTGTTTCTGCATATCAGTATTGCTGTGGATGAATCCATATTTCCATTCTCAGAAACTGTTTTCTAAGCCCAGCTGGAGAGTTCCCCCTGAAGTGAGCAGAAAATTGGATGTGGAAATATTCCACTCTCCACTTGGTATTTCAGAGGGAGAAGTTATAGCTGAAAAGCCACAGTAAGGAATCAGATTCTCATAAAGAAAAGGTGGTTTGGCATTATTAATTACTATTGTCATGACTTATTTATTAAGCACCAAGATGTACATGGTGCTGTACAAATCAGTCCCTTCCCCCAAAGATCTGATGATCCAAAAAAGAGAAACAGAGAAGATTAAGAAGGATGGAAAATTCAGAGGCAGGAATGGCGCTTTTTTAAAAAAAAAATACTGTTAATTAATTTGGACTAGTGCTGTAAATTCATGCAGTAACAGTTAACAATCAGGAAAAAGGGTGGCAACATTACCACAGGGGAAAAAATGAGCTCTCTTTCATTGCTAACTCAGTGAGTCTGGATAGCCCACAGGGATTGAAACAAAAACCAATGGCCTCTAGAAAACACAATACTTTGCCTACATCTCTGTTCATTTGAAGCGCGTAGAAAAGAACAAACCTCCAAATTAGTCGAGTCTTAGGCTTTTCCAGACCTTAGATCAAACATTCAAAGACTAGTAAGCTGTACTGGAAGAAAAACGCAGAGCAGAATTACAAGAAACCCAAGGAAGTTGTCATCTACATAATGTAACAACTGTCATATCCAAATGTTAGTCAGGTAACAGAGTAGTGCCTATAAATGCAATGAGTAATATCTTGGACCCACTGAAGTCAATAGTAAAACTCCCATTGACTTCAATGAAGCTTTTATATTTCTAGTAACTGAAATGACAGTCTGCAAGATGCTTCCTCAACACAATGGCCTTTCTGTGGGCTCTTCTTCATGAATGATATGGCTGTCTGAACAGTTATGAATACTTACATTAACTTTATTTTTGATGAAGAGGCAAAAACCTATAACTAGTAATGTCCTAATTGGTCCCTTTGGCAGTCCTGATAATATGAAACTCTCATTAATGAGAGTAACCCTCTTATCCATCCTGATAGCATTAGACCTCTTTGGATTAGAGAATCCAACAAAACAAAAACCCAAAACTGAACTATATTCTAGGCTAGGAGAACTTGAAGTCCATCTTTCAAAATGTACCATATGAACTGATATTGCCAGTGAGCCTGGGTAGAGATGAGGAGACAGGAAAAACTACATACACTTAGTTGTCAAATGCTTCTCATCACACCTAATTAAAATATGAACAGACAGCTCTTGCGGAGCACTTTGCACTGAGCAATGGTAAAGTAGAGAAGGACCTGATATAGCATACCTTTCCCAACAGGATTACCTGAGTGAGAGAGAGAGAGATTTAGCCTTTGCCCCCATTCTTTGGTTCTGACATTCTTACAGTGACTACAGTTCTATGCCATATGGAGACCAGGCCTATCATGACAACATGATCAGTGGATGATGCTTAAAAGAAAGTGACGCTTAAAGGAGTAAGACCTATGAACAATTGGACTCTCATTCTCAGACTCCAAATAAAGGTCTAAAATCACTTTGCTGTGGTGATGCTCAAGAAAGGACTGAGTGCTTTCAGGGAACCTTGTTTTGAAAACTGGACCGTTGTTGATGTTCCTTGATTTTTTCATTGTTTTCATGGTCTTTGAAACAGACAAGATTGTATGAACAAAGGAAATTATTGGAAGAACCTAGTAAAGATCTTCTATGGACAACCTACGTTCCCCATGACCTGATTGTAGACTGAATTTGGATGCGGGACAGTGTCATTCATTCATTCATTCATCTTAGCACTGTATACAATGAGAATGTGCATAATTTCTTTTTTTAAGTAATTTTTATTTTATTTTCTATGTTATGGGCCTAACCAGTTAATACAGCCTTCATACTCTCGGGTTTGGCATTCCTTGAGGTGTAATAAGTTATTCTCATTGGTCAATAGTCTAGAGCCTGACATTTTCTTTGCTCGTTTCCACCCCTGGAAGAAAGTGGAAACTTCATCCAACAACTAGATCTCATCTCCTGCTCTGCTCCAGTCTTCCAGCCTGACTTCTACCAAGATGATAGGTCTTTATCCACCAGAGCAAACTCCTATCTCAAAAGACAGCAACCACAGCCACCATCAACCGCTTAACTGTAAAGAAGCACTCTTTCCTTTTCCTTCTCCTTCACCTGTCTTTATCTAGTGTTTGTCTGTGTTACTCTGTCTGATTTAGGGAAACTAAATTTTCTGAAAAAAACTTTTGGCTTTGTTATAACCCAATTAATATTGTCCATCATAAAGAGCTGAATTTGATTTTGTGACTTGCAATTTGCTTTGCTTTATGAAATTAAAATCAGAATATTTTGTACACCGTGTTTTAATACTGAGATAAACCTCAGACCATCCAAAAGAATGTTATCTTCTTTGCACTAGCTATGAAGTGCTTTAAATAACACCCATCTAATCAATGAACCATGAATATTTAGTGTCAGAGAAGCTGCACACAATGTTTTATTCCTTTTTGATTGGTTGGGTTGAGCTTTTTAATAAGCACCTGCACTGTGGTTTTGATCAGCCTTTTACTAGTGAGAGACTAGAACAGCTGTGCTGAGAAAGCAGAGCACACAACTGTTTTCGCCTTATCATTATTTGACTTACAGTTTTTGTGGCTATTGCATTCCACATTTTTATTACAATATTCTGCCAATAAAATTCTTCATTAAAGCACCTGGAGGAACTCCCTCACTCCCACTCCCCTCCACTTAAATATAGGAAGTTTACATAAAGTAACCCCAACCAATATTTCCATTAAATTTGAAAAAGTAGTTGATTTTAGGAGCACATTGTGAGTGTGTAAGCACTGCCCATTACCTTACCTACGTCATCTTCCCACCTCCAAACAGTTTGCTGCTTCCCTTTTCCCCATTAGCAGGACATAAGAATGGCCATACTGGGTCAGAACACGGGTCCATCAGGCCCACTATCCTGTCTTCTGATAGCCGCCAATGCCCCAGAGGGAATGAACAGAACACGTAATCATCAAATGATCCATCCCGTCACCCATTCCCAGCTTTTGGCAAACAGAGGCTAGGGACACCATACCTGCCCATCCTGGCTAATAGCCACTGATGGACCTATCCACCATGAATGTATCTAGTTCTTTTTTTAACCCTATTATAGTCTTGGCCTTCACAACATCCTCTGGCAAAGAGTTCCACAGGTTGACTGTTCATTGCATGAAGAAATACTTCCTTTTGTTTTAAACCTGTTGCCTATTAACTATCTGCTTCCCCAAGCTAGATCTTTAGGAGGTAATGTATAAGATGGGAATGGTGTGAAAATATCCTTGATGTTAGGTTCAAGAGTGACCTAAAGATGCTGCATACCTATCCCAAATTAACTCCAGTTTAGAACACTGATGTTGAGGAAGGAATCTTTGTGACATGGTAAGTAGCATTACAAAGCCCTGAGAAGACCATACTTTATTTGTTCTGCAAGTTCCATTTTACTGAAAAGTTTTATCCATTTTTGTTTTTTTAAGACTGGCCTGGTCTGAAAGGTTGAATAAACTGTTATTATGGATGCCAGCTTGGTTACTGAAATTACAACTAAAACTGCAAGAGGAGAGA